ATATGATAATGCTTTGTTTTATTTTTCTTCTGAAAATCCACAAATTTTCTCATTTAACCAAAACTTGATCCTTTTTTTCTCACTAACTTCACTAAGCTGAAGTTTAGACTAGAAGTTCTGATAAAATGAGAAAAAGAGGAGAAAATTTGTGGATTTTCGGAAGAAAAATAAAAGAAAGAATTTTATATGTAATAATACAAGTATTAGCATTCAACAGGTGTTCTATATACAGATATATTTTACGAAAATGTTTTAGTAATAATTTTTTTTTTAATGTGATTAATGTTTTTTTTAAAAGAAAAAATAATTTTGAAAATGGCTCTTGGAGCTGAAACGTTAAAAAATAATATTTTTTAAAATAAATATAATAATATTTTAAATAATATAATTTTTTATTTTTAATTTAATAATGTTTTAAAATTGTAATAACCTACGTGAGATTAAAACAGGTTTTATAAAAAAAAATAATCATTAATAAAAAGTCTCACATAAAATATGAATAACCTAAAGAAGGTCGTTTATCATTAAAATAAAGTATTTTTATTATAACAAAATATTTCACCAGACCTCATATTTCGAATCACTTCACAGTATTAATTAATGGCTACTTTTGCTCGAAGATACACATCCTGACAAAGAGATAGTGAAAGAGCGTGTCCTGATGTTCTGGTGTCCTGGAAGGGTAATCAGGAGCTAAGCGGGAGGACAAATTAGGGAAAGGACCCATCTAATTAATGGGACACATACCGATCCCGATCCTTTTCAGCTCAGCTCTCACGGCCAGTCTCTTTTCAACCGCCTCTTAATTGAAATAGTTCCTATGGAAAAGGGGTCCTTTGAAGGGAAATACCGAACACTTTTCATCTCCCTCCGGATAAAAAAGAAAAGGGTTGTGAGAGCTTCGCACTCTGAGCGCCGTGCGTTCGGTCTCAAAGGCTTTGTTTGTAGGCGTGTGTCTCCCCACGCCCCGTTGTATACATATATATTTGTATGGCATTCTCTAATGGGCGTTTATGGCAGTCCTAACAAACAAGGGGGCGAATGAAGAATCGATATAAGGAAATATAAAAAGTCGATTTATTGATATTCATATCAATATTGCTGTCATTAGACTAGCGGCATCAAGGGGAGGGGGAGAATTTTGGGCTGAAACCTCAAGAAAAAAATCTGATGCGGAGCGCGCATCACACATCTTTCGTTTACCCCTCTCTTTATATAAATAGATATTTTTATATCTAGGGAAGTGAAAGTAAGCTATAACATATTCATTTAAAATAATTAATTGCCATGTTTTTCAACCTATCGAATCTGATAAATTTATACTTTTACGTTACTTTCCATTATCTTAATATATTAATTTTCAAGTCTTTTTTTTTGTAACTTCGCCATTTTTTCGTCATGTCTACATAACATCCAATGATCGAGCCTCATTTTGTTGTTTTTCTTCTTTCTTAGATGGAAAAAATAGTCAAATCTCCCAGAAATTTCAGGAAAAACAGTTATCAGAGAAAAGAAACTTTATTTGCGAATTACTCAAGACGTAAACCTTTTTAATTTGATTTTAATTCCCTACAAAACAAAAATAAAAATTTGGACAATTAGAAGCAAACATACAGCCTATAGTAATGTACAGATGTTTTTGTTAATTATCATTGATAAAATAACATGATTCCACTGAGAAAAAGAAATTTATTTCATCTAACTTATAATACATTGCACTGACTTATCCTGAATTATACTGTCCTTTGTTAGCTAACCAATATACTAAGCGAATTATTCTCACGAGCCAACTAGTAGTGATATATAATAATTGTAACGATTTTAGGAAAAAATGAATCTTTCGAGAAATTTTATAAAACTTTATTTTAATATTATTAGATTAAATTATAAATCTATCACGAAACTCGTTGAAAAAGAAAGGATTTAATATTATTATTAATTTTCTGTTATCAGGTATATATTAGTAGATCCTCAACATTCTACTTGAAAATATTTTTTTTTTAATTATGTGTAATTAAAATATAATAATTAAAAAAACAATATGAAATCTTTACACAGAGGTGTATCCAGGTATTTGTAAATGGAAGGGAATCGGCAAAGTTCGGCTGTTTCCGTAGGTTCTAGTTTATAGGTCTCTTAATTCTTCTTTAGTTTTGAAAATTTTTGCAAACAGTTTCAAACGATACCAAACTGTTTCAGTGAGGAGAAAATCTACCTGATATTATACACTACTTGATTTTACATCGTTTATAGGAATTTAATCAAAATAGTTAAGGGCGTTTTAGACTGGAGGAAAAAAAAAAAAAAGAGAGAAGTAAATTCAACAATAAAAATTGTCAGTTCCGGTAAGTAGATTTTGGCGAAAATGTTGCTCCCCAGGCATATACCTTCCTTAAAAACATAATTCTGTTTCGTAAGTGTTTTCCTTTTATGGCTGACTGTTTACACACACATACATAGACACAGTCCACTTTTCGAAACTACTTTTTTCCTTTCTCACCTTTTTGGCTATACGAATTTTTTTTCCCTAACTAAAGGAGAGGGCGGAGGATTAATATTTATTAATGTTAATAGTTCTCCCGACACCGGAGTTTAACACATAATCATCACTTTATCAGGTTGTTGGGTAACCTACCCCTCATCATTTAGTGAAATTTTTTCGAACTCAGAGAACATCTAAACGAGTATTTCCGCTGAAAACTCACATTAGAAATTTTCCATGATCGCAATACTTATCCCATACCATAAATTTCATATATAATTACAAAAAAAAGTAATATATTTAAATTATATTTAAACAATTTTTTTATTTTCTAGTGCGAAAATAGTTCAAGAAGGCCTACAAGGCATTAAATCTTTCAAGAAATAAGCTGCATTGCAGACGAGGGGCTTCAAGAAGGCCATAGAATTTCTATTTTCGTCTGAAATACTTTCGTAAAAAAGAAAGAAAAACAGAACCTATTTGTGTAACAAGTGAATTGGCTCCTGAATTATTGCTTGCAAGATGTCAGCACAACACCCGAGTTATCCTTAAAATAAATCTCCTTAATACCGAGACCGTGACATCCTGTGTCCTGGCATCGCCCAGAAGGTCCTTCAGGACATAAATAATCCTACTAAGGAGCGATTTGTGAGGAGGAGTAATATCTACTTGTCTCTGTTTGTTGTCTCAGCCGAAGAATGTCTTGAGGGCCCTTCGAGGTCTTCAGCTATTCCTGTAGTCGTATTGGTCTAACCTCTGTATCAGTTGGGTAAAGAAAATAATTAGGAGATATGTATATATATATATATATATATATATATATATATATATATATTTCCTAATTATTTTCTTCTGCCCAACTGATACAGAGGACAGAGGTTAGACCAATACGACTACAGGAATAGCTGTTTCGTTATAGTAAGTTCGAACAAAGTAATATAATGACAAGAAAAGTTCTGTTAAGAAAATACCCACTGGTAGGCACACTAATAACATGTCTACATCAGATCACGAGTTCATCTTCTTTTCAGAGGCTTCGGAGGGTAATCAGGGATCGAAGGGGAAGCAAGGTTAGAAACGAAAAGGTTTGGATGGGCCTGAAGATTATTATGGAAGGATAGGTATCTGGATTGGGCCAAATTGACAACATATGGGAGATTAAGGATTGGGAGATTATTTCTAACAAAGTAAGGAGCATTGAGAATTTCGGATGGTAAGAATTAGATGCGAGAGGAATTTGATGGTTTACTCAAGTAAATGAGTCTTTTATAGTTCATAGAAAGTGTAGTGCGTTTGCATAGTAAGTGCTGAAGTAGCTAGAAATGTCTAGCAGTTTTATATCGTTTCAGTTTTGTATGAGGATTAAAAGTAAGACGTTTATCAAGATGGAGTCCAAGGTAGCGGAACCATTTAAGAGGCATAAGTGTGAAATTATAAAAGGAAATTATAGGACAGGCCAAACTTAAAAAATGACATTAGAAATACACATACATATACACTATAAGATACAAACAGAAGTACACAATAGAGCGCAAAAATAAAAAAATAAAAAAACTAAGGTGTGTGCTTTAGACCACACGATAGAAGTGAAAACATCAACAAGGCGATTAATAATATGAAATATAAATTATAAATAATAGCTCATTATAATGAGGGTGAAATGCTGAACATTTCCCTCGTTTACAGTATGCAAGCCCGACTTTTAGTTTTTGAGATATTTTAATCCATATCTTCAATAAAACTCTTATTATTTGGTTTTCGACACTATTTTATCCTTTTCGCCTCTCTTACATTTACAACACTTCAATTAGTCGACTCAAGCCGACATTAACCGAGCGTTACACATCGGAGATATGATGGCTCAATCAAATTCACACTCTACAAAAAAAAGAAGTGCAAAACGCACCTAAAGCACCCAATACTTCAAAAATAGAAATAAATTAGCTAAATGAATAGTCTAAATACATAAACAGATTAAATAAATACGAAGTATGCATAAAACGACAGGATTGAGTTTAAATGAAGTTAATTTTTTTAATTATAAAAATAATTATAAGGTGATATTTAGCAAATAAAAAGAATAATAAAAAGTAGGTGGAATCAAATGAGAAAAATTAAAAACAACAAATTAAGCTAATATTGAAATTTCTACAACTATAATTATAGATCATTTATCATCCTCATAATATATATATATATATATATATATACAAATATTTTTTAAATAATTTTAATCCTAGTTATAGAGATAGGATGCTTGATCATTTGATCGTATATTATAGTTATCCTTAATCCTTTATTTGACTCAATACTAGAACCTATCGTTTTATATTGTCGTAAAATGTTTAAAAATTCGAAATTTTAATTTTAATGTATACATTTTTAGCTTTTAACCTACACCTGAAATATATATCTTCATGTAAAACTTGACATGTATCAGTGGGGATGCAATAAACAGTGTATATATAATATAGAACCATATAAGATAGACAATACAAGGCAAGATAAACAAAGAAACATGACTGACACAATACGTCAACACCCACATTGGACACTCCAACCTCATAAGGAACCCAGCGACCTTCCAGAACCCGTAATTTCCTTTACCCTTTTCAATCCCACTATTCGCCGAATGGGTCCGTGTGATGGATGTACCCACCTTCCAATCCAAGGTATCCCAGATAGTATAACATAAAATAGGTCCTCTGGTTTTCTGTATCGATTAAAATAATTTTGAAGATTTCAACTTGGGAAAAAGAATCAAAAGTTATATTTTTAAATATAGAACTCTATGAAAGTCTATAATTGATTTTGACTAGTTGTAATCGAAAATATGTCAGATAAGGCAAATGAAGGAAAAAAAATTAATTATTTATATTATAACTATTTACACGAACCTAATTACTTTTTTAAAAATGAAAGCTTTGTGCGCACTAGGATGGCTTCAGCCCGATAGTTTTTTTTTTTTCATGTATATAATGATAATTACTTTGGAAAAAAAGAAAATGAAATAACTACCTATACGAAATAGGGTTTAAGTGATACTTTAAGTCCTATTAAATGTAATTACACGAACAATAATAGTTTAAGAGATAATGTTTTAATATTGTTGTACATAATACAGGTATACATTTTATCATTTGGGGAGGGGAGGCTTCAGTCCGTAAGCATTCTCCCTGTAGATCCGGTTGAATAAAAATTGTGTTCAGAATAGAAAATTTCCACTTGTGTTTTACATTTTCGATATCATGGATCAAATTTGGTTCGGCGTATGTCTATAGTTAAATTGATGTGACGGCCATATCACCGACTACCTTTTATCAAATTTTCATGAAGTTTTCAGGGATTGTGCAGGTTGGTGCCCATATGGTAACATACCAATTTCATAAAATTCCATATAATACTACCGATTGCGCAGGCGCAAATGTATTTTCTTAGATATGCCAATATTTCAGAAACTGCTCATTCGATTTGGGTCAAAGCTTGAAGAAAGGCGAGAATTACTAAAAATTTTATTATTAGTAGTAGACCTTGAGACATAGGTAAGTGTAAAACCAATGAAAATTGTGAGGTTGCTATACTGACCTCACTTGCCATACGTTTTTTTAATTTGCCATTTCCAGCATTAATATTTTTTTTAATCCACTTTTCTGTATATAAAATATATATTAATATAAAATTAAAAACTTTAAAACTTCGTTAATTGTTTCATCTTACAGTAATCTACAATTTTTTTAATTTACGAAATTCTCGAAAATGAAGAGTTTTTTATCTAAAGATCGATAACCTGTGTCTATTTAATGAAGTGCTAAAAACCCATGAGCACCAATTTGCTTTTCACTTGCAATCCTAAGATAATTTGATCACAAAATCGAGAAATAAGGTGACCTATAAACATATTAGGGCGTTTAGCGTGAACTCCAATCCTGTCAAATTAACAAGGTTATAGAGGCCAAAATGCCCAATATTTTCTCTAGATTATCTTACGATTGAAGAGGAAAGCAAATCGGTATTCATGAGTTTTTAAAACGTGCTTATATTAATAATTTAATAAGAATTTTCTTAGATAATAAAGTTGTAGGTTACGATGAGATGAAGCAATTCATTTCATCAAAAAATTTCAGGCAGATGTTAATAACTTGAAAAGAGGGTTAAGCGGACTATGAGAGAAAGTATATTGAGATCATGAAAAATTTCGAATCCTATTTCAACGGAAATCATGTTTTGAAATATCCGAGTCTAAATAACCAAATCTAGCAAAATGATTGTGTGTGTCTGAGAATAATCCTAATTTAAAAACAAACAAAAATCTATAAAAATAAACGTTTGATAACTTCAGTTAAACTTAAGAATCGATCAAATAAATAAATATTGACAAGGCCTATTTGAGCTGACGATTTTTAGTTAAAGTAAGTTAGTGAAAGGTGTGTGATGGGCGCAGCAGATTTTTTTTTGTTTAGTTTTAAAAAATATTCATGTTCCTTTTTAAAAAAAAAAAAAAGTCCCTTCATAATAATATTTTCAAAAGCCACTTCAAGCCCTTCAAAGTATAGGGAAGTACAAAAGTAACTTTAAAAGTTTTTTTTTATATCTTGAGGAATAACATCGAGCTCTGGAGTTCTGGAGCGCTCTGAGTCGAGTGTCTTATAAAACCTGTTTTTTTAGTTTCGGCTTCCTCTATTTAAAGGGTCCATTCCAGTTGCAACTTTTGTTTAAGAGAGTTGAATAACTTAGAGAAACTAAATATTTCAAATTTTCGTAAAAAGCTTATTGATTTTTGTGAAATTATTACTGTTATTTAGTTAATTAGTAGAAACTTATTAAATATTTTCGTAGGAACGATAAGTAAGATCTTCATACTATTTTTTACCATTTTTATAAGCTAGACGTTCAGGACTTTTGTTGTCCATTTTCAAATGCTACTGCATTATTGTTTAATAATTTTGTTACCATATTATTGTGAACATTGCACACATTACTAGTGAATTTTTTATCCTTATTTATGTAACTTGTGAACATGACATTTCCATTAATAAAATCAACCAAGAGGACGTTTAGAAACTCGGTAAGACTCTGATAAGAGAAGCGAAATAAATCGGTCTACAAGAAAATGAACAAGAAACAAAATATATGATAAGCCGAAAATTCCACCCCAATAGCAGTATCTGTATAGAAGAGAAATCGTTTCAAAGGGTAGACAAATTCAAATATCTCGGCTCCACAATTACTTCAAAGAATGACCAGAAATCCAGAAAAATCAAGAAATCTTAATCTAAAAGCGTTACAAAGCCAATTCTGATATACGGCTGCGTGATCAGGAAACTAATCAGCATCCTACAAGGGAGGTTTGAGAGAAAAATCCTAACTACAATGATAACTAAAGCGATCTGGAATCGGAGTACTAACAGATGGCGGAGAGAGACCAATAATGAGTTGCCTAGAGAAACTGGTTAATCAATAGTCATGATAAGAAGGCAATCAATCAGAAAGCATGAACACAACAATGAATACCTCAATAGTAGGAAAAATACACGGAGAAGACCAAAAAGCAAAGATGGATAGAATCAGCGAAGATGAAATAGAGCTGCGTGCAGATGAATGAAAAGTAATAGCTCAAAGTGGGTGTACATAAAGAAGGCTGAAAAAAAATTGAAATTGAAGAAATGCCCATGAATACGAGGAGATCGAAAAGGCGCTGGATGAGAGACCTCCTTCCTTGACAAACCATGGTAATTGATTCAAGTCAGAGAAGAGGTACTGCTGGGTGCTATCCTTCCTCATGCCTGAAATGACAGAGTTTCGTTATTTTATTTAGACCATCTGCTGACTGTAAGTCGATAAGTCGAACCAATTTAATATCTTTTTATTCCTTGCAGTTCATCCTAAAATTAATTTTTTTTTCAAATTGATTTGAATAACATATACGGTGTGGTAGATTTTTATGAGATAACTTTAAATACACTAATTAAATAAATAATAATGTGTGAAACGTTCACAATAATGCAGAAAGAAAATAATTAAGCACTAAGTTAACTGCTTTTTAAAATAAACAAACTAAAGCTGAAACTATTTTTATTTTATTTTCTTATAATGCCAGACATATTTCATCTTTTTGTTCTGTATAATTATTCTTAGAGGACTAAATGTCTCAGAATAAAATTTATTCTTAATAAACTCATGTTCAGAATAAACTTCTTCTTCAAACGTTAAGCAAAGGAACGTTGGGCTTCAAGGACCAAAAAAATTCTTATGAACTTAATTTGTAATCAACAACCACAGAAAATATTTCCATAATAAACCGACCTGACGCAAAATATTAGGAAATGACGATAATAGAATGGGTCGAGGAAATTGCGAATATAAAAGAAAAAAAAATTCATGAATAATTTTGTTTTTCTTTTAATCCTGAAAGGAAACCTGTTTTGGGTCTGAATAGCCTTAGCATTATAACATAAACTTTTTTAGGGAAAGAGCTCTGTGTATATAAACACGAGTCGTTAAATTCGAATTTTCACATCGGGCCGAAATATAATGATAACGAAGTAAAAAAAAAAAGGCTGTAAATTTAGAGGGTGGCGCTACCTGCAGCGCCGAAATGGGGGATTATATATCGCTTCGTCAAATTATGCGCTCGGGAAATTAGTCCGGAGGTTTTAGGAGGAAAATATTTCCCGGAAATATGGTAATGAGTTTCCCGCCCTCGTTTGGGCGCGGAAAATTAATAGTTATCGCAGAAAAGTCCCTACTGTGGCGGGCGCCAAAAATTATTTATACGATATTTTAAAACAAAGTTTTGCCTCCGTAACTTAGTTATTGATCAAGTAATTAATACAGTCTTGTATCGAAGCTTTAGGTAATTTTGGAGAGCTACATTTTTCGCCAAAGATGAAGTCCAAAGGGAAATGAAGTTTAGAGTTCTCCTGGATGATTGAAAATACATGACATAATAATTCTCCTTTTTTAATATTAATATATCTTAAGTGTCTGTGTGTGTGAAATATATAGATATTTTAATATATACTCTTTTAATTACAAAACCATCATCCTACCTACGGTTTTTATTGATACGAAATATGACCGCATACATTAAGGGATGAGCAACGTCTTAAGGTTTTCGAAGTAAAATATTGCGCAGAATATTCGGACCGAAGAACGATGAGTCAACCGGAGAATTCAGGCGGTTACACAACGCTGAATTGCGTAAACTGTACCCAGTTTAATAATTTACATAATTAAGTTGAGGCAAATAATAAAATGAGAATTAAAAATATCTGGGCTTAGTAATGAAAAAAATATTTAAAAATTAATATGTGCTGTGCCGACTGGAAAGGCTCCGAGGGGTAGACCAAAACGAAGGTGGGAAGATTGTGTTAAGGCTGATCTGGTGAGGTTAGGTTTAGACGTAGCCCCGTGGAAGAATGTGGACATCGATTGGTAGTGTCGGCATCGAATCTTTGGGCTCGCTGAGCCTTATTATTATTATTATCATTAATTATACTCTTTCAATATGTAGACTAAAACATTATATATATATATATATATCTTATTAATTCTGTGTTATTATATTTCATGAAGTATTTTCATAATGATCTTTATTGTGACAGAATGTAATATAACTGAATAAAAACAGTCTGGTATAAACAAAAAATCATTACCAAACCAAAGCAGAAAC